TTTTTAACTCTTATAGGTAAAAATATCTTTTTAAATTTTTTTTTGTTATAACAATACATCAAACTTAAAAAATATCGTCATCAACATTTTTAGATCAAAATAAGTCAGAATAAACCTGGATATAGCTTTTTTTTATCTTAGAATCCATCTCCCAAGTAGCCTCTCTGATGGTCATGTGCTTCCAATGTTTGTTGATCATTAAAATCTATTTACTCCACAATTTCCTCACATCATACGCTATAATTTTATTTATCACTTCCCTATAGTGTAGATTCAGATGAACCTCCATATCATCAGCATATAATCTCATTCCAAAATATGATATCCACTTCCGCATAAATAATACATGAAATACACTATATACTTTTGACATATGATCGGATAATTATAACATGTAAGCAGAATTATCAATCCTATCAATGATCTTAAAAGATCAAATGCATTTTATAATCAGCTTATTGATTCTTCCAAATTTTCTGACAGTTTTCATTGGGTTGATTTTGACATAAATAAAATCACCAACCTGATATTTCATTACCATGCATTTTTTATTATAATATTTTTTCAGCCTATTTTGTGCAGCTCTCAATATTTATTTGATCAGATGAATCTTTGTTATAGTGTTATCCACAAAAACTAGTTCTATCACTTTCCTATCACCCACCTCTATTAAAGATAAAGGGGTTCTACACTTTCTACCGTACAACAATTCATAAAGAGCCATACCAATGTTAGAATGATAACAGTTATTATAAGTATATAAATTCTATCAGTGGGATATGATTGATCCACCCAACTACCACCAAATTCTATAATACAATGTCTCAAAAAATCCTCTAGTACCTGAATAGTCCTTTTAAACTATTTGTATATCTGCGAATGAAAATTCCTTTCTAAATGTCTTTCCATAATCTGGAGGTAAATCAACCATCACGATCGTATACTATCAGCTTTGGTAAACCTAGTAGTCTGATAATGTTTCTAACATATATTTGTGTTAACTTATCAATTGGATCCATTGTTAGATTGAAATAAAATGTGCTGACTTAATCAAATGATCAATAACAACTCAGATGGTATCATGATCTTGTTTTTATCTGGGAATACCCATAGCAAAGTCTGTCATTGCTTCATCCCATTTCCACTCAGGGATATATAATGACTGTAAAAGACCACCCGGTCACTGATGCTCTACCTTCACCAACTGACAAGCCTCACATTTTGAAATAAATTTTATTATATCATTCTTCTATCTAGGCCACCAAAATATATCTTTCAAATTTTCATACATCTTACTATTTCATGCATAAATAGTATTTCATAAATAATGTGCCATATATAGAATCTCAGCTCTCAGATCACTAGTAGAAGGAACCCATAATCTATCTTTATAGAAAATAACTCCATAATTAGATAGGAAAATTTTAGGTCTCTTACCAGCCTTAATCTAACCACTCAGCTTTAGATACTTTATATTTGACTTCTAAACTTCATGAATTCTTTCATATAAAGTAGACTAAATAATCATCTGAGATAATAAATTCTGACATGTATCAATTGATGCTACCTCTATCTGTAGCTTCTCTAAATGTTAAATAAGGAAGTATACGGAAGTAAGCAATGAAAGAGAAGTACTTAATAACTTCATACTCAAAGCATCTACTATCACATTTGCCTTATCAGTTGATCCTTAATGGATAAATCTTAATCTTTAATTAACTCAAGTCATCTCCTCTATCACAAATTAATTTTTTTTTTCAGTGAATATGTACTTCAAACTCTGATGATCAGTAAGAATCTCGCATCTGACTCTGTACAATTAATGTCTTTAAATTCTTAATACAAATAAAATAGCTGCTAACTTTGATCGTGTGTCATATAGTTCTTCTTATGTGGTTTCAACTGCCGAAATACATAAGTAATGACTTTACCATGTTGCATTAGTACACATCCCAATCCTTTTAGTAAAGCATCACTGAAAACCTAAAATTTATTCGTACATTAAGGAATAGTCAAAATCAGAGCATAAATTAAATGATCCTTCAACATCTAAAAAACTCTCCTTATAGTTCGGAGTCCATACAAAAGCTAATTAATTCTTAGTTAGTCTCATCAATGGAAAAGAAATCCAAGAAAACCCCTGAAAAAACTTTCGATAATAACCAGCTAAGCCTAAGGAACTAATAACCTCAGAAACTGTAGTAGGTATTAGCTAATTTGAAATAACATGAATTTTCTAGGGATCTATTGAAATGCATACACCACTCACAACTTGTCCCAGAAATGAAATGATACTAACCAAAAACTCACACTTAAAGAATTTAGCATATAATTGATGATACATCAGAATCTCTAGAACAGTCCTCAAGTGTGCTACATGTACCTTTTTAGATCTAGAATAAATTAGAATATCTTTTATAAATATGATCACTAAATGGTCCAGATACTTCCTAAAAACTTTATTCATCAAATCCATGAAGATTGCTTAGGCATTAGTCATACCAAATGGAATAACTAAAAACTCATAATGCACATAAATACAATCTTTGCCACATTCTCTACCCTCACCTTCAGTTGATCGATGATATCCAGATCTCAGATCAATCTTAGAAAATATCAAACATCTAAGCAACTAATCAAACAAGTTACAAATCATAAATAAATGATACTTAGTTTTAATAGTTATTTATTCATATCTTTGTAGTTGATGCACATCTGTAAGGTTCCATCCTTTTTCTTGACAAATAATATAGTGCTCCCCCATGGAGACACATTGAACAAAGCATCAATCTATCAACTTCTGAAGTTGCACCTTCAACTTCTTAAGTTCCTTAGGGGACATCTGATGTGGGGCCTTATAGATCATAGTAATACCTAAAAATATATATTTATATATATAAGACTCCACCTCTCTGTTTGGTGCTAAAGTCACTAACTCCTCAGGGGAGACATCCAAAAATTCTTAAACTATAGGGACACTACTCACAAATACAGAAAAGCCTCACATCTCCTTAAGAACCTAGAATATTTTGCATCATATGTCTAGGCATGAAAATATCCTATCTTAATACTCTTAGCTTTTTGTGCATTCTTCTGTCGAGGCAATACATTACACTAAATTTTAACTACACATATGACCACTATGTATATTACATAAAGAATGAGATAATATTATAAATATATTTTAATAGTTTTATAACAAGAGTCTTCATTAGTAATCAAAATATATTTTACTTCATCAATCCAAAATAAGAGAATTATCTAGACATGAAATGAATAACAAGCAAACTTATTTTTCATTATACTCAAGGAAGAATGAAAAATACAAGAAAGTGAGATCACTAGGAAAGATCAAAGTGTCTCCTCTACACTCTTTCTCCCTTTAGCTTACAAAGTTGCTTAAAAAATTATAGGCTAAATACTCTAAATGATTGTATATTGTACTTCCTAACATCCCTTATAATTTACTCTTAGAGAAAACTAATGAAGTACTCTAAAAAGAACTGAATGTACACAAGTGACTGAACTCTCTTACAAACCTAACATAACAACTATTTATTAAAAACATAGAAATGAAATTGGCGTTGTGTCATAATAGCACCCATGAAATGAACTAACGTCTTGACACTAAAGCTTTTTTAGCATCACGTCGCTTGCTAACGTGGATTGGTTACTTGGTGAATAGTCGCGTCTCTTCAATGATAGAATGTGGCTCTTGAAAGTTACAACTATAATGCCGTGACACTGTAAACATTGGAGCACTGCGATTCCCAAGTGCAAAAAAAGGGAGCCAAGGCATGAGAAATTATGCCACCGTGTCATTAGAAAATAGAGAATTTGGCACTACAAAGCTAACTTTCTAATGTCGTGGCGTTGTTAATGCTACGACGATGTCTGTGTTGCCCTTCTAGCACTTGCAAACTAAGAACTTGACACCACAATGTCAAAATTTGGGCACCACAATGATATTGGAGGAAGCAGTGCAACATTATTTCTTTGGAGGTCGTGGTGTTGAGGGCTCTTTAGAATTTCTGCCAATTTTTTTAGTTTTTTCAGTACAAAAATAACTAAAATAAAATGTTTTTATTGAAATACATTAAATAATATGTAATTTACATATCTCAGTAAGTGAGTGAAAGTTATGACTAGAAAGTAAATCCCTTCTCTAATAGGCCTCAGCTTTATATTGCTTCCAAGATTGAGAGCTTTCTATGGAGTGCTCTCTAGAAGAAAATATGGATCGGCCTCTCTCAAGTCAAGTGACCTAAGCCCTGACTAGTCTTGCTCATTTTCCATGCAAGGAGAGCGATGGTGGCTGAGCCATTTGTAAGATATTCAACTTATTGGGTAATGTCACCATTAGGAGTGGTATATTTGGTATCTTAATTATGAAGTTTCAAGAACCATATAAATAATAGTGACTTTAGGTGTTAAATATATAAATAAAAATATATTTAGTGATAGGTAGGGGAATTCGATGCTCATTTGAAATTCATTCAAACGCACCTTCACAATGTTTAGTAAAGTCAACATGCAAAGCTCGAGTTCTCATGAGGGTGAGAGCTTTAGCAACAACTTTAGGGATCAAAGTCATGAAAGGGCAAACCTTCGGTGAGTAATTTATGGTTATGAATTCAGAGGAGAGGACTTTTCACGACTGAGCATTCTTGTGTCAATAAGACCAATTATTTTGTGATGGATATTCGATTATGATATAGTTATAAGAGAAAGAATAAAAAGTGAAAAAAAAAATCATTTTGTCCTTCTTGGAACATATAAAAAAAAAAACTTTAAAATTGCTAAACAAATCATATACAAGTTAAATATATAAAGCAATAGAACCATCATAGTAGGATGAGTTCTATTTCTTCTTTTTGATAGAATAAATAAATAAATATAATTTATTATAATATTTCTAACTTCTATAATTATAATCTGTAATTTTCTTCACTAACCCTAAATGTTTAGCCACTTCCGAGTCTTTTCCAAGCTGGAGAATAATGGCTTTCTTCAAACTCCTTCCACGAGGTCTGAGACGCCGCCGATCCTTCATCCTCTCCCTCGTCAGTCAATTCTCCTTCTCGTCTCCTGAAGATGCCGCGGCTGAGCGCCGTCGCCGTCGCCGCCTCCTCGGCATGCCTCCTCCTTCTTCCCTTGGCGACATCCCACGTCCTTCGCCTCCCGACCAGCCTCCTGTTCGAAAGGCCCAAACAAGCCCTAGCATTCCCAAGCTCCCCGAACCCGCTTCTTCACTGTCTGGTCCCCGCCTCCTCCTACACAACAACATCCTCTCCCTTCTACGCTCTGGCGATCTCCAAGAAGCCGACCTCCTAGTTCGCCATTCCGTCTACTCCAGTTGCCGCCCCACTATTTATACAGTCAACGCCGTCCTCTCTGCTCTCCTTGGAGAATCTCTCCACTCCGAGCTCCTCGCCCTACACCGCTTCGTCAATCAGGCTGGCATTGCCCCCACAGTTGTCACGCATAACCTCCTAATCCAATCTTACATCGATAGCCGCAAGCTTGATCTTGCAGTCAGTTACTATCGCTTCTTATGCCGTGACCTCCCGCTCCTTCCTTCTCCGTCCACCTATAGAATATTAGTTAAAGCCCTTCTAAGTGCATCTAGAATGGAAGAAGCTCTGCAGCTGAAAGATGAGATGATCGCCATGACGGAACCGGACCTCGAGGTTTACAACCTCCTCATATCTTGGCTTGTTGATAATGGAGATCCGGATGGTGCCCTGGCTTTATATGAAGAGTTGACAGGGATGCTGGGGGAGAATCTGAAGGCTTTTGGCGGAATTGTTGATGGGAGTTTGATGAAGGCGTATTTTAAGAAGGGGATGGAGAGGGAAGCATTGGAGTTGTATAATTCTGCGCTAGGAGAGGATGGTTCCCCGTTTAGGTTCAGTGTACAGAGCTACAACTCTGTTCTTGATGCTTTCTGTAAAAATGGTAAGTTTGAGGAAGCATTGTATTTGTTTGAAAGGATGATGGGCGAGCATAGCCCTCCAAGAAGGCTTTCTGTGAATTTGGAGAGTTTTAATTTGATGGTGGATGGTTATTGTGCGACAGGGAGATTCAAAGAGGCCATTGATGTTCTTAGAAAGATTGGTGAAAAAAAAATCAGTGCAGATACTTTGTCTTATAATAATTTGATAAGGAAGCTTGGGCAGAATGGAATGGTGGTAGAAGCTGAAGAGCTTTATAGAGAGATGAGTGAATATGGGATTAAACCAAATGAACTTACTTTTGTTTTACTCATGGAAGCATGCTTTGGATCGAATAGAATAGAAGATGCAATTCGGTATTTTTCTGACATGGATGATGCAGGTGTTCAACCCGAGACATTGGCATACAATACAGTTCTGTGTGGGCAAGTGAAGGTAGGAAATCTTACTGAGGCTAAAGCTTTCTTTGATCGGATGATGGAGAAGGAGGTGAAGAGAGACCTTGTGACTTATGAGGTACTGCTAAAGGCATTTTGTGACTCCAATAGATGGGAAGATGTGTTTGGGGTTGTCAGAGCCCTTCTGATGGACAGCAAAATGGTTTTCCAACCACAGATGAGGGAGCTTGTGGAGGATGCTGCAAGGAGAGAAAAAATGGAGGGAGAATTGGCTAGGTTATATGATGAGGTAGAGAAGGAGAAGGAAGATGCTCTTGCTCAGGCTGCCGAGGAGAAGGCAAGAGCGGATGCCCTTTCAAGGGAAGAGAGACTGAGGAAAAGAGCAGAAGCTAAGGCTAAGCAGGCTGCTACTACAAAGATTACCAAAGAACATATTGAAATGCATATCAAAAGGTTCTCATTAAACAATGTAGAAGAGAAGCAAGATGTACCACTCTTTAGTGGGATTTTTGGGAATGGAGGCCCTTCAAAATAGGTTTATGATAAAAGTAGCTCTTGTGAAGTAGTTGAAGTCAGGAATGAAGATGTTGCTGCTTATGGTGTTGCTGATAAGTTAGCATACAATGGTTTCTAAGGTAAAAAGATGAATGGTGAAGATGGAAAGATTGTGATCGTCATCCTTTCAAATGTATTTGATCAGATTGCTAGATTTAAGCTGAACTTTTCTTACCTTTTCTTTCCTGAAGTAATTTTGAGCTGCAACCTGAAAGATGGTATTGCCACTAACCTTTTTATTCTGTTTCTTTTTGAGTAAAATAATGTTGTTAAATGATTCCAACATTGACAGTCGTTGTAATAGATTACTCTATCGATTCAGGATCATTTGTTTGTTTTAGAACATTGAGTCTACTCGTAGGAAGTGTGAATCCACTAAAAACTAGAATTTGGGCAAAAAATATGAGTGATTCAAACATTGATAGTAGGTCTTTTCAATCTTCCTTAAGAGTAGTTTTAAAATGTTAAATAACTTGGAATTATTTTTAATAATCTTGACAACGATGAATGTTACATCCACCAATCATGCAATAAGATATGAAAGTCGAGGAAGACGGAAGACGGAAGAGAAGATGAACTATCACAATATTAAGTTGAAGAGGAGATGGATATATTGAAAATCTATTTGAATGATGGTCTACCATTCAAGTTCAAAGCCAAACTAGTGCTAATCGCGTCGAACGATGTTGTTAGTAGCTAAAAAGTTTACAATTGAATATATTTCTATATTATCATTAATTAGATTTAAACGAGAATTTGACTTTTAATTGGGCATAATGGAGAAACATGATTCATGTAGTCAACCCCATGTAGTGGGGCAAAGGCTTGATGTTGTTGTTGTTTACGTAACTAAAATTGATCTCAAATGCTCTAATATAGTGAAACTTTGAATCTAAGAATCATAACTTATTAGAATTGACATGATCAACATTCAAAAGGTTACTGTATGTTTAATTTTATCCAATAAATAATAAAACAAAAACAATTGAGATAGTGATTGAATTAATTGGCTAAAGACTACACTATAGAACTTCTTAGGCTAGTTATTATCTTACAAAATTTGGTGGGGCAGAAGTCTATGGAATTTTACATATATATCTATTACAATTTCGAGTGTAAAGCATCATGGAGACATGTTCAAAAGCTGAACTTAAAAATAATAACCAAAGGATGAGGCTTCATCCAAAGATTGCAAAGCAAATGGAGTTGAGTTTTGATGAGAAAAAGCAAGGGATAAAACCTTTTTGTTCTTTTTTAACAACTCAAACATGTAAGTCATGAATGTCATGATATGCATTAAAAGATGAAGACAAATAGATGAAGCAAAATAGAAATCCTCCCAAATAAAGGAAGCTCTCGCAACAAATATTAAAAAATGATTTAAATTGCTAGCTATAAATGAAGCATATCAACTATTAAACTTTCTTTTCATAAATTTTTTGCCTCTCGGCTTGTATTTTAATTAAGTGTTAATAAATGATCCAATCCGAAAAATTCGGGATTGAGTTGATTAATTTAATTAACGGGATTAGTTCGGGTTGTGCATTCCGATCCATTTATTAATCGGGTTCTGTTCAGATTGACTCGTCAATATGATTTCTACTTGAAAAAGACACGTTTAATATTTTTTCCTTGCATTCTTTTATTTATTGCACAATTTTTTTATTTATTTTATCTATTAATGTAAAATATATGGTTAACAAGTTAATAAAACTATTTTTTTAATTGAATTTAGTTATCATATCAGGTTCATTTTGTTAGTGGGTCAAGTTCAGGATCATGCTTTTTACCCTTTTATTAGATATCAATTGCTTAGTTTGATCAGATTTGGGTTGGATTCGAACCCAACTCGTCAACCGTTTTTAGCACCCCACTCCCAATTTCAATGTTGAACTCATGAGCTTTTCACTGGAGGTTGAATCGACCCATTTGATGGGACTAGTAAGTTTTTTATGCCAATCTTCAAGACCCTATATGGATAAGCTAGCCCTTAAAAGAATATAGAAGATCACTTTTGGACTAAATTCTTAATTTATTAGGCCTTTGTCTAGTTGGCCAAAAAAACCTTAATCTAACCCTCTTTATTAGTCAACCTATGCACAATGTCCAACATGCATCTAAAAAACGAAGAGCGATAAAATTACAAATATGATTGGTAAACAAAACAAATAACTATATTAGAACTAGTTAACTAATCAAAACAACTAAAAAAAAAAAAAGACAAAAGGAGAGAAAAACTTAACCAAAACTAGCTCAAAACTCCCACAAGAACTTCTCCAAGCATACAAAAAAGAACACCAAAGGCAAATAAACCCAATTGGGAGGCAAAATAACCATCCAATTGGTCGTAAAAAGCGGTCTAGAATAAAAATCCAACAGAACGACCCATTGTGAAGTAGAAAACAAGCAAACAAGACCAAGTTAGCTAAAAAGAGCTCCGAACATTCAGGGTTGCTATGGGATGGAGCATCATCACGACCCAGCAAAATGAAAACCACCAAGAAGCCAAACACTAGCGATGCGACCGAGCCATCGATGCTAAGAACCGATAAAAATATTAATCTTTCTGTAACCTTTCCAACTTTTGAACTTAGCTAGCAAAGCACAATAAGTCTTGAAATGTAAAGAATCAATAAAGAGAAATTCATTCATGAAATCTGTTGTTTCTTTCTCGCTAGATATAGTAGATAAGAGCAGAAATTGCAAGCTTATGTGCCTGAACAACCACTGGGGTATTCATAAGCTTGCTAAAAATTTGGGTGCATCAAGAATAGAGAGGAGGGGAGAATCCTTTTTAAAAGATCGAAGTTGAAATGACATTCAAAGAATAAGTGAGAAGAAGAATCTACACCAAAATTACATAAGACACAGATTATTCAAGCTAATTCCCCTTCTAGCCAAAGCATCTACCGTTTTAAGCCCATCCCCAAAAGGAAGCCAAGAGAAAGTAGAGAATCTAAGCGTATAATGCTTATGCCAAATGAAATAGATTCCAAATTGCTGAAGATTAAAGCCTAAAAGTTCTTGAAAGAGGGATTGGGTATACCCATACAAATAATGTCACTGTTAGTAGCCTGAGAAATAGGGTTGGAAGAGATGAATGAGAGATGAGGAGGCTAACGAGAGGTAGGAGGATTTTAGCTACCATTTAGAGTAACCTCTTAGATGGTGAGAGATTTAGGCTTCGTTTGACACGGCTTTCTTACTGCTTCTTAAAGCAACTTTCTAGTACAAAATTTTAAATTTTTATACTAAAAAGTTGCTTTAAGAAGAATTAAAAAAGCCGTCCCAAACAGAGTCTTCAAAGAATGAATAACAGAATTTCAGTTACCTAGATGGGATTCAAAGGAAATTCCGTTAAGCCCAGGGTTGCCAAAGAGATGAAGGTTACTGTTAGAGGAGGTCCTAAAAGAGAAATAGAAAGAGTAAGAATGAGCCAAGCTTTAAGCTTTTTCCACTAGATTGAAGCATAAGAGGAACAAGCTCCCCAAATAGAACTATATTTTGTATTCCATGAAATCTCCAGAGGGCATTTAGATGAGATGATTCTCCAAAGTAAGGAACCATTGTAAGAAGATTGAAGGTCCATAATTGCAGGTATCCCAAGGCGTCCAATTTTAGAGATTTGCATGTTTTGTTGCAAGAGACCAGATGATTTTTTTTGAAGTTAACATCATCATAAAAGAGAAATCTGGAGCTCAACTACTACAAATTTTTTTGGTAAAATAGCCTTTCGAATCCAATACCTAATGGTGTTAATAAAGGTAAAATAGCCTCACGAATCCAATCTAACTTATAAAAAGAAATTGGTTTTTTGAAAGTTAAAGTTCCATATAATACCATTCAATATATATAATGATACAAAAAAATAGAGATTCATACACATCACCAAAATATACTCTTATTATAAAACTATCACTAAATAAAAATATAGCAAATTTATGTATCTGCATATATCATGATGAAATTATTAAGAATTTGATATAATTAAAAAAATATGAATTTGAATTATATTGTGAATTTTAATATTTAGGTCAAAACTTGTTCAATAAAAAAACCGTCCAGAATAAAAATCCAACAGAACGACCCATTGTGAATCAGAAAACAAGCAAACAAGACCAAGTTTGCTAAAAAGAGCACCAACCATTCATGGTTGCTTTGGGAGGGAGCATCATCATAACCAAAGCATGTACCGTTTTAAGCCCATCCCCAAAAAAGAAGCCAAGAGAAAGTAGAGAATCTAAGCGTATAATGCTTATGCCAAATGTGAGAAAAACAATCCATAGATTCCAAATTTCTGAAGATTAAAGCCTAAAAGTACTTGAAAGAGGGATTGGGTATACCCATAAAAATAATGTCAGTGTTAGTAGTCTGAGAAATAGGGTTAGAAGAGATGAATGAGAGATGAGGAGGGGAGGCTCATAGAATCCTTACCTAAAAACACTGAAGTTAATACAAAGGAGAAGAAAGGTTTTTGAAAACAAGTATACGTTAGAGAGAGAAAGTAGAGAGAGAGAAGCTCTGAGAATTCAAAAATCTGTTATTTTGAATTTTCGTTTTTTGCGGCGACATCGACGGTGGAATGTCGACGGAAGGTCGTCGGCCACCTGCGGCCGGCGGTCCATCGGAGGATAGGCGTACCACGGGAAGGAACAGTGTTGGAAGTGTTCGTGATGTTTCTTCTTCTCCACCGACATTTGGTGATGGGAAGATAAAGTTGTTTACAGGTTTAAAATCCTCCTCCATGATGAACAAGCCACTGATCATTAACGAAGGAGGATTAATGATGAAAAAACAAATCTTGGAAGTTAAAAGAGAAATAAGAAGAGTAAGAATGAGCCAAGCTTTAAGCTTTTTCCACTAGATTGAAGCATAAGAGGAACAAGCTCCCCAAATAGAGCTATATTTTGTATTCCATGAAATCTCCAGAGGGCATTTAGATGAGATGATTCTCCAAAGTAAGGAACCATTGTAAGAAGA